GGCAGGAAGCCTGCTTCTCCCTCTCCCATTCCCCCTGCTTGTGTTCCCTCTCTCACTGTGTCTCTCTCTGTCAAATAAAAAAAAAAAAAAAAAAATGGAAAGCCATTTCTCCTGTCTCTTCTTGTTTTGTTTAATGACAGTCATGTGTGAATAATATCATAATCCTCCATACTTGTAATCTTAGTTATTTTACAAAGTTACTTCATATACATTTGATTCAACAAAGATAAGAGTGTATCTGGTTTTAAAAATTCTAATGATTTTATATTTTTTAAGGTTTTTCCTTGATATAGCATCTGATTGTCCTACAAGTGATGCAGTAAATCATAGTCTTTCCTTCATCAGTGATGGCAATGTGCTTGCTTTACATCGTCTACTCTGGAACAATCAAGAGAAAATTGGCCAGTATCTTTCTAGCAACAGGTAGGATTTCACAGTCATGGAGATTTTGAAAATTCTTAGTTTTAATTTATAAAAACTATTGCTCCTGAATAATGCTTTTTTATTTTGCATCTGCTCAGAATAAGAATTGTGGTTTGGAAAGAGAAATGTAGAACTCTAGACTCTTTTAAAAAATAAATAGGCAAAGGGTTGATTCATATTAAATGATCAACAAGCCCACCGAGGTGCTACAGACTTTTTTTTTTTAAAGGTTAAGCTGAAAAATCACAAATTAGCCCTTTGGGTTTTTTTTTTTTCTGGTTTGCAACACATCAAACATGTACAACACAATGTAAAGGTTAAATTTACTAGAAGCTCAAATGAGTATTGGCATCTGAATTTGAAGAGTAGCTCATTCTTGGGAATTTAATAATTAAAACATTGCCAGTGTTCTGAGTCTATTTGTGATACTCTCAAGTATATGCAAATAAAGCTTTATGCAGAAAACATTCAGTAATTAAAAAGTATTAACTTGGGTATTATTAGCTGTTTTTAGTTAAAGTCTTTTGTAGCCTGAATCACTTGCTGTCCTTTCTAGTTGTGTTAAAGGGTCCAAATTCCTATGCGTGAGGAGTTCTCTTACAAATATAAAATGAGGGGTGCCTGGATGGCTCAGATTGTTAAGCGTCTGCCTTCGGCTCAGGTCATGGTCCCAGAGTCCTGGGATCAAGCCCCGCATTGGGCTCCCTGCTCAGCGGGAAGCCTGCTTCTCCCTCTCCCACTCCCCCTGCTTGTGTTCCCTCTCTCACTGTGTATCTCTCTGTCAAATAAATAAATAAAATCTTTAAAATATATATATATAAAATGATTCCAGAAAATCTTAAATGCTAATAAAAATGGTTTGCTCATTCATGGAAGTGGTAGAAGACCATGAAGCTAAGGCTAACTAATTAGGAGATGGTGGTTAAAAGAGAGAGCATTTTAATCCTTCATGAATTGTTAGTGGATTAAAGTGATACGGACATGACTGATGTGTGCCCTGATAGGGGAAGATTGAAGATGCTTTATCTGTCACACTAAAATAAACTGTGGAACCTTTAAATGCAAACACTCATTTATATAATTCACATACATATTCGTGTAGTTTGATGCTGCAGTTTTTTTTTAATTTGGTTGTTTTTAAAAAATACACATTCCAAACATACAGAAGAGTATAGGCTATAATATACAGAGACGCGTGTCTACCATCTAGCTTTGACATTAGTTTGCTGTTTCACTTCAGATCTTTATAACATTTTATTTCTTGGGGGAAAAGATATAATTTCCCTCTATGTAACTGACAAAATAAGGAAATTATAGGTATGTATAACATAGTTTTGTGTGTTTTAAAATTTTGCAGAAATTATATACTGAATATAGTCTCTTCACACAGTATTTTGAGATTTATTATTTATTTAACTTATGTTAGTGCTTTATTGGATGACTGTATCAAGATTTATTTTCTCCCTAATTGATATTTAGGGGTTTTTTTGTTTTTCACTATTTTAAATAGTAATGTAATAAATATTCTTCATATTTGTCTCCTTGTGTATTACCTAAATGTGTAATTGCTGGGTTCTGGGCTTCTCACAGCCCCAACTTTACTAGATACTGCCACATTACCTTTCACAGTGTACATGCTGATTTACATTTTGGTCAGCACTGTGTGAGAGTACCTCCGTGTACACATCCTCACCAAAGTTAGAATTAGTAAACTTCATAATTTTTGCCAGTTTGACGTTTGTGAAATAGTGTTTTGTTATTCTTGTATAGTTTTAAATGCTTAATAGTTATTGAAAATCCATATTTACCCTGGTTAAACAGAGATCTGGTGTCAGGGACAAATACATCCCAATTTGTAAAGCGTAGTTTCTCAGAAAGGATTCTTTTCATCTTGTGGAAAAAGTGGATCACAACGTTATTTTTACTTACTGATCGCCTGTTTAATGGTAATGGATTAAGAATACTAGAAAAAAGAAGAATTTTTATGTAAATTTTGTAGTTTGGGGAGTGGTCATATTTCTAAGATGTCCCCAATGAATACTTACAACCCTTGTGAGGTCTTTTTGGTGCTACTTACAAATCAGCAAGAACCACCAGCTGACAGTAAGAAGAAAAGCAACCAATGATAATCTAAAGCAATGTGTACTACTAAATGTGAACTGCTACTTTTTTCTAAGTAGTTTGCTATATTTAGGGATCACAAAGCTGTTGGAAGACGACCTTTCGATAAGATGGCAACACTTCTTGCGTACCTGGGTCCTCCAGAGCACAAACCTGTGGCAGATACACACTGGTCCAGCCTTAACCTTACCAGTTCAAAGTTTGAGGAATTTATGACTAGGTAAGGTACCACGTTGAAATAATAATTGCTTTCTTTTGTTTCAGGTGCAAGGTTTACCACCAGGCCACTTGTTAGATATACTTGTATTTCTGATAGAGGATTATCAATAGATGTGCCTAATGACTACATTGCCATATTTTGGGATCCCACTTTTTTCTTACTTTATATATTGTTGACATGTGCTTTGTTTTATATTTGATTTTCTTATAAAAATAATAGTATCTTATTGAATGGTACTTTGTCATGTTGCTTTGAGGTGTTTTTGCATTTAATACTTAGAAGGGAGGGTAGATAATCATATTATAGTTAAGGAGATGCTGCAGCTCAAAGTGAGTGACTGATTTGCCCAAGATTCCACACCTAATTCATATATCCTGTGGTTTTAAGTTCTGAACTCTTTATGCCACACTGTAGCATTTTTCACAACCCTCCCAAAAGTTAATGCTATTAACTTCATTCAGATTGAGACTCAGAAAATTCAGTATATTTCAGTATTGCTATAAAACTTCTGTGGACATTTGTTTTGAATCTCATTTAGAAGGATTTAGTTTGTGAGGTAAAAGATCCTCATTGTTAAGACATTCACTTTTATGATGTTACAGCAAAAGTAGTGTGCTGAATCCTTTAGTCTTTAAAGTACCTTTCATGGTACTTTACACTTAGTCACTTAGTAAGTACTTCAATAGTGACTGTGGGTGAAGTGTTTTTTTCATAATATGTGCTAGAAACAAAGCAGAATGTGACATTCAGAAATTAATTCACATTACAGGTTTACATATAATGTGCCTTGCATTGTAATGCCTGTTATTGATCATATTGTGTGTACATGCCTCCAATTCTTTGATACCATTAAAAAAATGTGTGAATACATAGGGCACCTGGGTAGCTCAGTTGGTTAAGTGTCCAACTCTTGGTTTCAACTTGGGTCATGATCTCGGGGTCCTGAGATCAGGTCTGCACATTGGGCTCCACTCAGCACAGAGTCTGCTTAAGATTCTCTCTCCCTCTTCCACTCGTGCTCTCAAGCTTTGTCTCTCTGAAAAAAAAAAAAATGTGTGAATACATAACAATCTCCTTTCCAGCTTAATTTTTATCTTTAGCTCTTCTATTCATTTCAGTATAACAGATGTTTATTCCTACATGATTAAAGAAATATTTTCCACACAAAATTTTCATAGTACCTAATTGAAAATAGCATAGTAGAAGAATATAAAACCATTTTTTATTCAACATTACTGAGGACATCCTAGCCATTTTTCCACTTTTCTAAGAAAACCTTTATTGTTCCTTACCTAAGACCCTAACTTCCCTTATAAAACAACCTTCTATGCTTTTGAAGACTAAATGACGTAATGCGAGTGAGACACTTAAGGTCTGGTATATAGTGTTTAATAAATGTTAAGTGTTATTTTTGTTGTCAGCTCCCACTGATGCTCTTTGAGACCCACTTTTGTTTTAAAGAAATGAGGGTAGCTTTGTAATTTTCTCGGCTATAAAAATAAAAATTGTTCTATTATTCAAAACTTAGAAATCTAAAGAAGTAAAAAATTCTCAGCTACTCTTAGAAGTAATTCAGTTGACATCTGGCAGATAGCCGCACAGTCATTTAACTATACAAATGTGTACCTATTTCTCTTATCAAATGATATGTAGGTTGTTTCCATTAATATTAAACAAATGCTGACCTGGTACCAGCAACATGATGTACTGAGATAATACAACCTCTCTCCCCAACCCCCTTCAATACACAAGACACATAGAAATAGTAGGTAAAATGAACTGTATTTTTAAAATACTTCATTCCAGTATAATTAACATACATTGTTATACCAGTTAATTGTACAGTTGTACAATGTAGTGATTCAACAAATCTGTACATTACTCAGTGTTTAGCATGATAAGTGTACTCTTTTTTTGATTTATTTTATTATGTTAATCACCATACATTACATCATTAGTTTTTGATGTAGTGTTCCATGATTCATTGTTTGCCTGTAACACCCAGTGCTCCATTCAGTACGTGCCCTCTTTAATACCCACCACCAGGCTAACCCATCCTCCCACCCCCCTCCCCTCTAGAACCCTCAGTTTGTTTTTCAGAGTCCATAGTCTCTCATGGTTCGTCTCCCCCTCTGATTTCCCCCTCTTCATTTTTCCCTTCCTACTATCTTCTTTTCACCTATTTTCCCCATTCCCCACCCACCTCTCCTCCAGCAACCAGTTTTGTTTTTTTTCTCTTTGTTCATTTGTTTTGTTTCTTAAATTGCACATATGAGTGAAATCATATGGTATTTGTCTTTCTCTGACTTATTTCACTCAGAATTAGACCCTCTAGTTCTATCCATGTTGTTGCAAATGGCAAGATTTCCTTCTTTTTTATGGCTGAGTGATACTCCATTCTGTATATATACCGGTTCTTTTTTATCCATTCGTCTATCATTGGACACTTGGGTTGCTTCCATGTCTTGGCTATTGTAAATAATGCTATAGTAAACATAGGGGTGCATTATTATCTTTTCAAATTAGTGTTTTTGTTTTCTTTGGGTAAATACCCAGGAGTGGAATTATTGGATCACATGGTAATTCTATCTTTAACTTTTTGAGGAACCTCCATACTGTTTTCCACAGTGGTTACACCAGTTTGCACTCCCACCAGTAGTGCCCCAGGGTTCCTTTCTCTCCACATCCTCACCAACACTTGTTGTTTCTTGTGTTTTTTATTTTAGCCATTGAATGGACTTTTAATAAATGGTGTTGGTACAACTGAGTGACCATCTGGATAAAGGTGCTCATATCATTCATGAGGATAAACTCCCATGAAGAAGAAAACATGTGCAAAAAGGAAGGCCTTTTTAATCATTCAAAATTATACACCAATAAAGAAAAGGTTGATAAACTGAATTCTTAAAAAAAATAAATAAAAACTCAATGGCTTCTAGAAAAAAAAATACCATGATAAAAAACAATCCTATGGTTAATATTCCTGCCCAGTACTTTTCTTAGGATAGTCCTAAGAACTACTCATTGTTTTCAAAGAGTAACACCTTGAAATTTTTGGTATTTGTTTTAAAATTGCCCTTCAGAAAGTGTTTTGCTTTTTAAACATTTTGTCATTTTAAATATTTTATCATTGCTCTAATCATGGGTTTTTAGAAATAATGGACAATATAAAGCCTATGAGTTAATCTGTTGTTTTTTTTTTTTTTTCTTTCAGGCATCAAGTACATGAAAAAGAAGAATTCAAGGCTTTGAAAACATTAAGCATTTTCTACCAAGCTGGAACTTCCAAAGCTGGAAATCCTATATTTTATTATGTTGCACGGAGGTAAGAAATACTATGTTTTAGTTTCTCTTAACGGAGTTTTAAAAATAATAACAAATGTAGAGAGATAGCAAGTTTGGTTTTTCCCATTTGACTTTACTGGAATTGAAGACAAGTTTACCTGGAAGAATATAGGTGGATAAATAGGCATCCTGTCCCAAAATGATACGTGGTATATTAGAAATTGCTTTTCAGGAGACCTATTTCCTATTGGCTTCTCTTTCTTACATCAGTTTTTTTATACTTCCTACAATGGATTAATTACCAAGAATAAAAGATTGCTAAATATCTTTTGTTTTTAGCTGAATTCTGATTAAATAATATCTACAACATGACAATCAGGAACATTTTAAGCAGAAATAAAACTTTAGGAGTCTTTTTCTAAGAACTTTCAGTAATATGCTGTGTCTGACAATATTGGGGTGGCCTAACAAATAATTCAGAGAAGCTATGGAAAATTTCTATAAGGATAGCACAGATGACAGCCTGGAAAAATGCTTGCATTTTTTTTCATGCTGTGTCCAGACTAGTTCTTAGAAAGCCTTTCTGGAAATGCTGTGAGCTCCTTCTTAACAATAGGTATGAGGCTTGCCTTGCCCTCCCTTTTCTTTCTTGCCTCCATTCTACCTTCCTTTTGAGAACTTATCTGTGATATTAGTTGGTGATTTTTACTTCTTTCTGTTGACATAAACTCATGGTAGTTGAACTTTAGAGACAATGTGATGTAACAGAGAGACCATTGGTTTTGGAATTTTAGGACTATGTGTAATCTTAATTTTGCTGTTCAGTAGCTGTAGGAATTAATCTTCCCAAGTTTCCTGAATTTAACATAAATTGAAGAATTATGTCAGTAGATTGAATAGTCACGAGTGGCAAAAGCTTATCAGTGTGTAGGGAATAAATGGAGGCTGAGAAATAGTGGGGGAGGATTGAAGAAAGGAATGCAGAAGGTGGGAAATGCATTTAATCAAATAATCCAGATAATGTTAAGACCAAGGAGTCCTAAGCACTGGGTGTTACGGAATCAAGAGTATAGAAACGTGCATTTACCCTGAGCTCGCCTCTTGAACAATTCCTGAGTAACATCTTTTATTTCCCTTGAAAGTCTCTCCAACTTTTGTATCAGTACCCATTTCTAAATTGCCTAAGATAATTTTAATTTTCTTTCGCAATAGAGATGAACCATATTTGTATTTCAACCTCAACTTTATTTATTTATTTTTAAGATTTTATTTATTTGACAGAGAGAGCACAAACAGGCAGAGCGACAGGCAGAGGGAGAGGAAAGAAGCAGGCTCCCAGCTGAGCAGAGAGCCCGATACGGGGCTTGATCCCAGGATCCTGGGAACGTGGCCTGAGCTGCAGGCAGACGCTTAACTGACTGAGCCACCCAGGCGCCCCTCAACCCCAACTCTTAATGCAGCCAGTATATTTTGACCCTCCCTGTTTTGTCAAAGTAATTAAAAGTCAAACATTGGTGAGAGAGGCAGATGTGTGTCCTCCTACCCCTTTAAATTCCTGTTAGTTTATAAATAGCAAAGATTTCTGGAAAACCTCAAAGCTAGGTTTTTTCTTCAGGATCAGAAACTGTAAGATTGTGTTGCTTCTCTGCAGGTTCTAGAAAAGGCCAAGGAAAGTAGGATGGGCCTGATGCAGACACCCTCTGTTGGATTAAATCAGTGAGATTTCCAGGAAACCTATAGAACATGGTGACTTAAGAGTGCTAAGGATTCTCAACTCTGTTTCTTTATTAGCTGCATAATCTTAGACATTTTTTTCTGAATCTGTTTCTTCTTAGGTTTAAAAAAAAAAAAAAAAGGTGAGGGGCGGCAGTTATAGAAACTATCCTGTCTATTTTGTGACTTTAAAGTTCTGTACAGAGTATGTTTGAGGTTTTCTTTTCTTTTTTGGTTTTTGTTTTTGGATAGAACTCTTCCAATTTCAGATTTTCAATATTTTGAGCTTTTTGTTTAGACCCTGGAGCTCCTCTCAGCTTTCATTTTCACCTGATTTGAAGTCTTAGCTCCAAGACAGTTGAGCACATGGTAGCTCAGAGCAGAGAGGCCCACTTCCTCCATGGTACAAGTCCAAAAGAAGATAATAAGGGCTTTATCTCTACAAAGCCAACTTTGTCAAAGAGCGCTTGGGTTTGACTTCTCTTTTGATATTCCTGTGTTTCTGTGGCTTAGACTACTATGTATTAGTTAATATTTTTTGACTTGTAGGTCCCATTCTCCTTGCAGATAGTCCACGGACATTTCAGACTTGAAATATGCAAAACTTAATTCAGTATATATTCAAATCAGCTTCTTTACAACTGTATTTTCTTTCTCAGTTACATCATTATTCTTTCCCATGCTAGAAACCCTAATCATTTAAAATTCTTACCTTTTTCGGGGCGCCTGGGTGGCTCAGTCGTTAAGCGTCTGCCTTCGGCTCAGGTCATGATCCCAGGGTCCTGGGATCGAGCCCTGCATCGGGCTCCC